CCCCACCCACAGGCCACGCCCGCCTGTCCGCGCTCCTCGCAGGTGCCGCCGCCGCCCCACCCGCCCGCCCTGCCGCCGGGGCACCTGTGCCACACGTAGGTTTGGCCGAATTTTATCTCCGTTCTTCTTATCCTCACTACCAACCCCCTCCCGATTGTTTTTATCATAACAATGAGCGGTATATATTTTCTTGGAGAGTTGAAAAGCAGTGGTCAGTGCTGAGACTGACTCACCCTGAGAAATGGTCTCCTCAGCTGCGTCTTCCCCAAGCCAGTCCCCCTGGGCCGCAGTGAGGACGAAGACATCCTTTGATTTGCACCTTATATAAAAATCACCGAGGGACTTGTTATTGTGGGGTGGATCCATAAATTGTAATCGTTGACAACTATAAGCAAAGGGGAACGTTGTGGGGGGGGGGTGAGTGTGTGTGTGGAAGGGGGTAGTGGTAAAGAATTATTACTGTTTGCAAGGTTCAAAACAAACAAAAAACCCCAGTACTCTTTCTAGTGAACTTTGAGACCTACGAGAGATCGTTCATTGAAAAAAAAATTCATTCAAATGCATGCAACTAAAGGACTCCTCAAAGTCATGCATTCCTATTCTACTATATTCCACAAACACAAATTTCTACTACAACCACAATTTTGCTGAACATAATTTAGACCGGGTCCTTTGCTTCCTAGAAGATTTCAATCCAGTAATCCTAGAGTAGCAGACAAATCAGTGTGGTCTTCACTGGTGAAACAAGTTAACAGGAACATTCCAAAGGGAACCAGCAAAGAGCAACTTCCAATCTTATGTATCAGGAAGAAGAAAAGGTGTTGTTCATCATCTTCACTTTCGTAGAAGCAAGAGCAGTGAAGGCTGAAGAATTGACAGTAATGGGGGGGTAGGAGGAGGTTATTAATGCAAAGTATTTGCTTTATCTCCACCTGACAGGAGTCATCTTCTTACTAGAGTGATAGACTGTGGAGATGATTCTAGTGGCAAACCAACAAACCCAGCTACCACTGGTCTGGCAGCCAGTTCAAAGATCCATTTCACATTCAAAATGACCAAGGCAGTTTTTAAAACTCTCCATTTTATAATTAAACTTATGTAGAATAGATATAAAGGGGAAAAAGCCATTTTTAATATTACAGCAGGAGTAATACATTTTCTGAAACAGCTTTAAATGACCACATTTTTATAATCCCTTTAAGAACCATTTTACAAAACTATACATGCCCATTTCAAGCTGGAATCAACTTCAATACATCACAGCAACCACAATGAGCACAGAAAACAAGCAAGGTAAAATGACTTTATAGCAGAAGGATTACTCCTCACATCTTTCATCTCAGAGAATAAACAGATCAATATGTGAAAAGTCACTGTATTTCTAGTGTGTTTAAAATATGCAATGGAAGATAGCACTGTACATACTACAACATATACAAAATGACTTGGTATTTTCCTATTTTGTGCCTGAACCTACTTTAAATATATTCTTAAAGAATAACACTTAATGAAGTCCAAGGGGCTTAAATGTAATTGGTGATCAATTGTAAGTGAAGTTAATCAACGCTGCCAATGGAAATGAGTTTGAAGGTGGATACTAGGACATATGTTAACAATGGAGGGAGGGGTCACAAATATGCTGTAGAACAATAATTGAAGGTGGATGTGGAGGTAGGGTTGCCTTAATGGACTTAGGGGAGAGGGGAGAATTACCACCTTTGTAAGGAAATCTGTGCTTTGAGTCCCTAGGGCAACATGGTTTATAGTAAAACTTTTGTGGTTGCTCCTCTTTCCTCTTCAGCAACCACCCCACCTCTCCCACCCAGCACAATTTTTAAAAATGCACACATATATAGGAGGAAAAAAAGTGTCTGGTTAAAAAAATACTAACAAAGGTAATGATAAAGGGGAATGTTACCAAATGGCAACTTTCCTGAGCAATATGTAGATTCTAAGTATCTAAACATGGGGACTCTGAGCTGCTGTGTTGCCTCTCCTCCTCTGGGGCTGCTTTCCAGATACTATACTTATCCCTTAGTCCCTTGGTTCTACCAGTGGGGACAAACCACAGAAGGCTCAAGATGAGTGGTGGCTCTGATAACAAATCTCAAGTACCAGAGGGACCATCAAATAAACAAAGGCCTGGAAGCAACTGGATATACGGCAGCAGGAAAAAGAAAAGTTAGGATAAGAGAATCATAGCTGGGAGTCCCCTTATCAGTAATCTATCTCAGCCTTCTCATTTTACAGATACCATTTTACAGGAACCAAGATCCTGAGCAGTGGCAAATTCATAATCACAAGAGCTGATTTTGGAAGAGCCAAGGTCAAAACAAAGGTGCCTTTTTAGTTTTATTTACACCTCTCAAGAGAACTTCTCAAGTCCATGAATTTAAGAGAGGTCTGGTAAAAAACAGATT